TGCAATTATTATTTTCAAAAAAAAAAAATATATATATATATAAAAATTATTAAGGAAAAATTTACGTTTATTTACAATCTTATTTTGATTTATTTGATGGTCAACCTAACAATTGTTGTATGTAATTTTTTGTTTTATTTAAAAAAAATTGTGAAATATGGAATATGAAATAAGTGGGAAGAGGGGAGAGAAATTAAAGGGAATCATTAAATTATTTTTCTATCTATAAATTATTCAACGCACTATTAAGGAAGTTACATGATTCAAACTAAAAATATATTTTATCAGCATAGCTGGGAAAATAAAATAATTATCTACATAAAATAGAAATGAAAAACTTAATCTTAGAATAAAATATAATTTATAATATAGATGAAATAAGAAAAGTCGTCCAAGTGTGGGGGCAATTTTTTCGACAACAATCACCATCCACAACCCAAGAGAGAAGTCCAGCAAAGGAGCCCAGTTGAGGGAGGCCCAGTTTCTGCAGCCCGCGTCGGTTCGTGCTCCTCACAACGAGTTACCCAGTAATCAAACTCATAATGTTGTGTACAAATTTTTTTTTAATAATATGTGATTTTTCATGACGAACATTTTATGATGAATAATGTTCGTATGTATTAAACTCCCATATATCTTAATGCATGTCAAATTATAATATTCTCCAAATTTATATACCCGTGCATCGCACGGGATACGCACTAGTTCTATTTGACAAGATAAGCATTAATTAGTAAATTAATGGGAATCCTATTTCCCAAAATTAAAGATAATTATTAATGGTATAGAGATAATAATTAGAGATAATTATTAATGGGTTAGAGATAAGTAGTAAAGTTTAGAGATAATTATTAAATAGACAAGGCACGTTTCTTATCAAAGTGGATTCAATTTGACAAGATAAGCATTAATTAATAGAGATAATAATTAGAGATAATTATTAATGAATTAGAGATAATTAGTAATAGTTTAGAGATAATTATTAAATAGATAAGGCACGTTTCTTATCAAATGGAATTCAATTTGACAAGATAAGCATTAATTAATTAATGGAAATCTTATTTCTCGAAATTATAGATAACTACTAATGGTAAAGAGATAATAATTAAAGATAATTATTAATAGTTTAGAGATAATTATTAATGGACTAGAGATAAGTAAAGATTTAAATTAAAGAGATAAGCCACGTTTCCTTTTGATGGGAATTCTGTTTGACAAGATAAGCATAAATTAATTTAATTGTATTTAATTAATGGTTTAGAGATATGTCATGATAATAAATCACGTTACTAAATTCATTTTTACTTAAAATATTTGTTAACAGATAATTCTTAATGGTATGAATTAGTTAAGTTTTTCGACTTATTAAAAACTCATATATTAAATTAGTCTAATATTTATCAACTATGATCCCATGCCTATAAATATTATAGAATGACAGAATGATATTGCAGAACGTATTGCTAAAAAATCTTACTGCCACTTTCACGTAAAGCATTGAAGCCAAAAAAATGACAAAAGTCTGGGGAAACATCAAGCAAGTGACAAGGACTAATAGACCTATGATCAAGCTAAGGGTCGTTCGAGTCTTTCAAAGGACTAATGATTACTCATTCTACAAGAATATCCTAGAGATTGTCTTTCATGACAATGAGGTATAATTTACAATAAATGATTAAAAACTTCTTATTGTATTTCGCTATATCTTACAATATTATTTGTATTTTTTTTAAGGGTGGTCGAATTACTGCAATAATAAGGGCAATAAACATCCCTACATTCATCAATAAATTTGAAGAAGGGGCTGTCTATGCACTCCGAAACTATCAAGTCGAGAGTAACATTGGAATGTACAGATCCACCATTGCCAGATCCACCATTGCCAAATACAGGCTTATCTTACATGGTAGAACTGAACAGATAAGCTACAAGGGTGACTTTCCAATTTACCGTTTCGACTTTTGAAGGTTCATCACATTGATTGATGTCGAGAAGATCGACGAATCAATCCTATTTGGTAATCGCATTTTCAATTTTTTTATTTTGTTTTTTAGATTTTTTTTGATAAATAATAATTTTACTCTAAATAATTATTTAGATGTCATTGGAATGGTGGTCGAGATAAATCCCGTGCAATTGAAGAACGTGAAAGGAGTACAAACTCGAATGATAGCATTCTCACTAATGGATCCGGAGTAATATTTTAACTTTAACCTACTTATTATTTTCCTTTTACAATTTTGTAATTTAAACATTATTACAATATTTATAATAATATATATTTTTTGTTTAATTTAAAAATAGGGGAAACATTATGCCATGCACTCTTTGGGGGCCATATGTTGACCAATTCCAAAACTTTGAGAGTGAACTTGCCCACAACAATCCATGGACTTTGATAATTCAATTAGGGCGTTCAAGAGCATGGGTAGGCATATAAAATTCAATGCCTTCAATTTATATTTAATTTACCCGCTTTGTTTAAATTACATTATTTCTTCATAAACAGAAAGGGTGCAAATAAGCTCATCAAAGGATATAACAAGGCTAATTGCTGGCGAAAATATACCCGATATTGTGAAATTTCGCAATAGGTAAGCAAATTTGAATTATTATAATATTCAATATTCAATAGTTAATATATATATATATATATATATATATTAGTGGATGATTAAAAACATTTTATTTTATATATTATATAGGCTGCGTCTGGGCCACATAGAAGGGCCAGATTGACTTCAAAGAGTTTTGTTGTTGTGAAATCTGAACTTCAAGAATTAGTTGATGGGGATATTGTTGTTAGTTCTGTTGACTCACTATATGAGACTACTGAGGTATTTGAAAATACAGTATTTTTATATACAATTAA